CGGTCAACCGGACGGCGCGGGTGTCGCACAAGTGCTGTTGAGTGATGTCCTTACGTATCGATCGACTCCTACTCCACACGAAGTCATACCACTCGCCGAAGTTCGTGTCCATCGACATCACGTCCAACGCGTCCATAATATTGGTGCAGAGGTAGTCCATAGTCATCATGAGCACCGGCGCCGGCCGTAGCTCGTGAGCCAACGGCTCCTCCTGATCGGCACCCGAGCGCCGGTACTCTTTGATCATACGGTGCTCGTCGGGCGTGCCGTCGGCGTCCACCTCGAAGTTGGACACCTGATTGGTCTCTATCCGGAAGTATCGCTCAAACTCTGGACACATGTCGGGACAGGTGCCGACCACCGCCACCGCTGTCGCCAAATCCGTTTGCCTCGACCTCCGCATCCGCATCAGTCGATCCCTGGCCTCGAGCACCGACATCTTGTCGGCCAACGCCGGCGCCGATGCACTCAATTTGTTCCGGTATTCCGCTTCTTCGGGCGAATCCATTGCTAGTGATATCTCTTAACCACTCAAACGATTGGTTTTTTTTGAAATTAATTTTTTTTTCAAATCATTTGCTGTTTTGAGTGAAGCATTGAATGCAATGACTGTTGTATTCACCGCCAGATGTCACGTATAGTCCAATACAAGTGTAGACTTCATAAAACAATGGCCTGTATTGACAAATAATAAGTGCTATAATATGCTTATAGTATTGCGTTACATACGCCCTTGTTTTATGGGGTGTCTTAAAGTTTGTATACAATGTATGGCAAAGTTATGGGACACTAGATGTCGACCACATGTCCATAACTGTAACATTTGGTCACTAACGTGATTATCAACGTGACGTGATTTACCATCATTGACCAGGGTGTTGTCCGTTAAATTAGTGCCGTAAATAGTGCCACGTAACTGATATCTTATTGTGGTCAGTTATCCACAGAAACCCTTATGAGTGCAATGAATGGTAAGCCGTGTGCGTGCAAAGGCATCCGCACGTGTCTGGTGTGCGACCCCAACACCACCGCCGAAGACGATATCTACCAATCACTCAAACCATACATCTATTGTCCTGAATGTGGGAACAAAGCGTACGCTCCAGAAGTGAGCGATCATTCACTTCACTCGACTCTCGATGGATCAGTACTCGAGAGGACACACCAGTCAGTGACCATCGATGGCCTGTACGTCAAGCGGGATGTGTTGAGTGCGGAACGGGAGTCGGAGTTAGTGGCAGCTATAGACCGGATACCATGGGTTGACTCGCAGTCCGGTCGACGCAAACAGGACTTCGGACCCAAAATCAACTTCAAGAGACATAAAGTCAAACCCAATGGCTTCCATGGATTGCCACACTTTGACAGGCAACTGATCCGCGATATTGAGCACCAATTGGGTGACTACTCGCACGCACTCAAAGACTTCTTGGCGGTGGAAGTGTGTCATCTCGAGTACACACCGGCTAACGGGTCGGCCATTGACTTACATTTCGACGACTTCTGGATTTGGGGCCAACGGCTGGTGACTGTGAACCTGTTGTCGCCCACAGTCTTGACATTTGTATTACCGCCGGAGCAAAGGGCTGACCAATCGGAGGCCAATCACCAGATTTGTGTTCATTTGCCGCAGCGCTCGCTGGTTGTGGTGTCCGGCGATTGTCGCTATAAATACCTGCACTCTATCCGCAGGCAAGACATTCACAGCCGAAGAATTGCAATCACTTACAGAGAACTAAGTGAAGAGTTCTTAGCGGACGGACCCCTCTATGAGAGCGCCGGCAGAGAGATAATAGAGCGCTCACTGAATGATGTGGTGTTTTGACAGCAAATTAATTGTTTATTAATTAATTAATTAATTAATTAATTGTTTTAATTTATTAATTAATGAAAATTTAATGTTAGATATCTATTTGATTACATTTGATAAATTAGTGGTTAATTGTGATTCAAAAAACTTGTATATAATTAACTATTTTTAANTAATTGTGATTCAAAAAACTTGTATATAATTAACTATTTTTAAAAACATGTTATCGTTTTATAAATTATTAAAACTGTTAAAAACTTTTTGATTATATATTAAATGCATAGAGAGTTGAACACAAAATGTTGAACACTTGTATCGGGTTGAGATCCCGGTGCCCACCGTTACGACTGTTTCATTTTGTCGAGGATAGGGATCACCTGATCAAAGGACGGTCTCTTTCCCGGCTCCTCATTCATGCAGATGCGGATCAGTCGGGCCATGTGTGGCGACACACCGGGAGGAATGGTGACCCTTAAGGCCTCGAGCGCTACCTTCATGCCGATCTCCATGGGCGAGAGGTCAGCGAAGGGCACCTGACGGGTGGCCAACTCCCACAAGAGTACGGCGAACGACCACATGTCCGCAGCCTTCACGTTGATGTCGGTGTGCTTTTTCTGGAGGGCTTCCGGTGCCATCCACGCCGGGTTATACACCTTATTGCGCTCCTGGAACGAGAACTTGGCGTCCGCCATATTGATCCGGGCAGTCAGGTCCTCGTCGATCTAGTGGACAGGTATGTCTGTTAATAAGGGCTTCAGTGGACAGGTATGTCTGTTAATAAGGGCTTCAGTGGACAGGTATTCAGGGAGTTGGCCCACATGTCATACCATAACGTGTTTCGATGATAAGTAGAGACGAGGTATGAGTGGATTCAGTGTATGCAAGAACGCCATTCCCCGGGCGATATCAATGGCAAACTTGAGCGCCTTATGCGTGTCGACCACAATACCGGTGCCCTCGTGGAGGACTTGATATAGGCTTCCGTATTGCATGTGTTGGTTGACGACAACCAGATTTGGCGGCGAATTCACGCAACCAATGACTGGCAGTACATTCGGGTGCGAAAAGATGCGAAGTCTTGGGAACTCCTCGGAGAAGTCGCGCGGAATTCTGGGCGCCATTTCCCCGACGACAGCCACAAATTTGGCACAAATCTCGCTATTATTTCGCTGCCAAACACCTCTCCAGGTCTCGCCGGACGGCGTCGACGATATCTTGTGCTGGAGATGAAGCTCTTGGAGAGTGAGCCCTGAATACCGGGATAGCGTGGCGTCACGGGAACGGGACTTTGTGCCCAACCAGGACTGGTCCTTATAGGGGATCTTTTTGGTCACGTCTTGACCCAACTCGGCGGCCAACTCGTGGAGGCGCTGTTGCATCTGACCCCTGCACTTGTCTAACGGGGTTTCGCCGTATTTATTGCTTATATTAACCAAAGCACCGGAAGTGATGAGTTCTTCAGCAATGCTTTGGTAGCCCCAGAAGCAGGCGTAGTGGAGGGCAGTGTTTCCATGTTCGTTCACCGCGTTTATGTCAGCCTTATGTCTGAGCAGTTGGTGGACCACATCCTTGTGTCCCTGCGCTGAGGCCAAGTGGAGGCAGGTGTCGTCCCCCATGTTTGTGGCGTTAATACGGGCGCCCTTTGCGATCAACATATCCACCAGACCTCCCCGGCCCGCGAACGCCGACCAATGCAGAGGACTAAAGCCGTGGTCATCACTGGACAGACATAATTGGTTTGACATTTACAACTGGGATACTATGGTACTTAGGATGCAAGTGCTCCCTTACCCCTGGTTCATGTCGTGGGTGGTGTCGTCCAGCCATACCCTCACTTGGAAAGCGTTACCATCTCTACACCAATTGAATATATCATCCATTGTTTGGCAGTAATTGTGTTTAACTTAAATGTTTTGATGAATGAAAAGTTGTTTTAATGTCAATGGAAATGCTATCACTATTTATGGCACTCCAGGAAAGGCATATAAGGCTATCCCTACTCTACAAGTTTGGCATACATTGCGTTGAATGGAGTCTCACTCTCCCACTCCATCTAACTGTGCATCCAATCACATCCCATCCCATTCACAGCATACATGGCATACATTGGCCTCACTTTATGGTCATTTGGTAGATGTCTTAATCGAAAACCTCAACGTTTATTGGATTAACACCAGTGATCGCAACGATAGGCAAAACATAATCAACTCAATACACAATCAAAATATAGAGACAACTCTTCCAACGATATATACATCAGAAAAAACAAATCAAAATACAGTTTCATATTAACAGCACTTGTATTGACTATAAAAAAATAAAAACGCATATATTGTACGATCGGATCAATTAATCTGCAGACTCTTGCGGACCAGTTTGTCGGCAATGGTGTAGAACTGTTGCCTGTCTTCCCTCCACATCTTGGCCGCGTCCACATTGGCTCCGGACTCGTCGTTAGGCTCAGCCAACATCGACACCACTGACAGCAACACCTTCTCGACGGACTGCACGGGTGACCACCGCTCGGCACTGGACTCGTAGCCCATGGGGTCGTCTCCGGGGGCGTGTAGTATCGATATGCAGACCCTGCCATCCGGGTATATATTCGGGTGAAACATATCGGATATGAACTGCATTTTGGGAGGCGATAGGGGGTAGTCGTTGGGAAAGGTCAGCCTCGCGGTGAACACTCCGCCGTCAAAGCACGTGCCCTCCGGTCCGGTGATCAGCGCTTCCCACTCGAAGAAGTTCTCCTCATCGATAGGGCCGGCGATGATCCCTTCCGGTGGGTTCAGTGTCAGCTGCTTGTACTCAGCCATCAGCCGCCGCAGAGCTGATCCCGCCATCGATACGATCAGTCACTGCAAT